TGCCATTTCCCCTATCTTGGACATTTCACTCCTAATGAGACGCTGTCAATAGAGGCAGGGAATTGAGGGTCAATTCCACCAACCTCCTTGGTACTTTCTAAGTCACTGTAGTTCCATGAGGAGGCAAGGGAAGATACAGATCAATAAAGATTTAGATTCTGTATTCTTGTAATATCCAGTCCCAATACAGATGCAGGGCAGTATGAAGTAGTAGGAAAAGCTATGAAGTCAAAAGACTGGAGCTCTGAGCAATTTTCTTGCTAATAAACTAGAATCTCGGGAAAATCATTCGCCATCTTTGAATCTCCATTTAAAACTATCCAATGGGATGACGAATAGAGGCTGTATTTAACACAAAAGAATGTAGTAATGATCAGAAGAGATACTAAAGATAAAAACGCTTTGAAATAAATTAAATACTTTATCAGATTATGGATTTTAATCTTATCCTCCACAAAACACATTCTACATATGATGGAATGAAGGACACTGAAAAACACTTGAAATATTTTCCAGTTCTTTTCAATATCAGAAACTGATGGTTTTTACCCATAATAATTTTCACATTGCTGCTTTAATAATAGAACCCCCAAATATTTGAAGGCACATAGCAACCAATAATAAGACATTTCCTAGCCTGCTTTGCAGCAAGATGTGGCTAATGCCCAGTTTCTAGCCCATGAGATGTAACTGGAAGTAATACTTGCAACTTTCCTCCACTTCCCCTCTGCTGTTTGACATGTAAATGAAATGGCAGGAGCTGGAGCAGCCATTTTGGACCATGACCTGGAAGCTGCACCTAAGGCAGAAAAGCAACAAGAAAAGAATCTGGGCTTCTGGTAATGTCATGGAACAGTGCTATCTAGTCAACTTTGTCTTAAGAGAGAGAAAATTAGCTTCAATTTTTTTAAGACATTATTTTTTGAGTGTCTCTGTAAAAGCAGCCAAATGTCAACCCTATCCAGCATACTTATATTTAATTTTTAATGATCTATGCCCACCTTCTTACTAGGTCTACCTAGTAGATGTTCTTCCTTTTAGCAGTACGATCTCTACTCAGACCCTAAGTTCCTTTAAAGGTATAGCCAAGTGGGCCCTCACATTTCAAACTTATGATCAAACCATTTAGGACAAAAAGCAAACACATTCAGCTACTAAGAACCACATCTTTATAATTTTTTAAAAAAATAATCCTAGTGATATCCCTAACTGTTTTCTAACATTGATTGCTAACGTTATCAATTATTATAAGAATATTCAAACAATCTCAGGGCAGTTTTCTTCTAGTTAATCAAAATAGGAATAGGCTGCCAAAAGAGTAGGAGGCAGAATGGATACTATGTCCTTAAAAATAATTTAAACATAGGTGCACAGACGCACAAGCACGTATACAAAAGCATCCCAACCTGGTTAGTGGGACTGCCAGTGCCAAGAGAAGGGAGGCGCTGTCTACCCGGTAACTGTAGGAGTCCATAGGACCTGGAACTCCCTGGGGTCTTTTTTACCTCTTCTTGTGCTTTTGACACTAATGCTATCTGGAGTTGATTGGGTTTTGAATCTTAAGGCTGCTGACTCCCCATGGATCCTACACCCAGGTGCTACCTTCCATTGCCATCCCTCCCCTCAGCTCCACTCAGCATGTAGGTGTGTAGTCAGTTTTCAGAGAACAAACTCCATTCCTACCTCTCCGTTTCTATCAACACAGGACCCCAGAGAGATGACAAACGCGCTGCTTTTGAACGTAATGATATGAGGAGGAAGCCCATGTCAGTCTTTCTAATTTGCTCAGCTTTGGCCTCGGGCCAACACAAAGAGATGGTTTCTCCTCTGAACATCCTGATATCTCGTCTCAAGTGGAGCACCAGACATCAAGCCTTCAGCAGCAAGGCTGTGGAAAACGTTTTGATATAAAATCCCGAGGTGTCTAAGGAACAGTGTGAAGTTAGCAGGGGCTGCCTCCAAGTCTCAGCTATGCCTGGATTCCCTGCCAAAAATTCAGTGTGAGTTTAAAAGAAACAATCTGAATGCTTTCTAGCTTGCTTTGATTTTCCACATGACAAAACACCTATTGTTATTGTGTTTGAGTGTGTGTGCATGCGCGCGCGCGCGTGTGTGTGTGTCACAGTGGCAGGTAGAAGGATAATTTGCAGCCCTGCCATTCTAGACAGAACGTTACATCCTAACAACAAAATGTGAAGACAGAGAGAGAGCTGCTCATTAACCCCAGCTGCAATTCTCCTTCCCTCCATGCCTCAGAAATAAATCATCTGAAAGGGGGACTCTAATATCTTGTTAGCCTAATCTTTACCAACTAAAGAACAGTATTTACTTGGCCCCTTTTACCTCACTCTAGTATGATCCACAATCAAAGCCCACGGAAGCAGCAGTCAAGAAATCAAATGATGCATTGCATTAAGCAAATCTGCTACAAAACACCTCTTTCAAGCGTTAAAAATCAAAGATCTCACTTTAAGGCTAAGGTGCACCTGACCCAAGCCATGGTGTTGTCAATTGCCTCATATGCATGTGAAAGCTGGACAATGGATAAAGAAGATAGAAGTAGAATTGACATCTTTGAGTTGTGGTGTTGGCGAAGAATATTGAATATACCATGGACTGCCAGAAGAATGAACAAATCTGTCTTGGAAGAAGTACAGCCGGAATGCTCCTTTGAAGCAAGGATGGAAAGACTTCGTCTCACATACTTTGGACATGCTATCAGGAGGGACCAGTCCCTGGAGAAGGACATCATGCTTGGTAAAGTAGAGGGTCAGCAAAAAAGAAGACCCTCAACAAGGTGGACTGACACAGTGGCTGCAACAATGGGTTCAAGCATAACAATGGTTGTGAGGATGGTGCAGGATCGGGCAGCGTTTCGTTCTGTTTATATAGGGTTGCTATGCGTTGGAACTGACTCAATAGCACCTAACAACAACAACTCCTGTATATGGCTCAAAACAGCACAGTTGCCTAAGAAGTCATCCATCTCATTGATGTGTCAGAGACACGGAGGGAGCTGAACTTACCTAAGGCAGCGCAGCTCTGGGCCACTGCTAGTTTGGTGTTGTCACCATTGTGTCATCCACATGGCTTAGAGACAACCCCTGGGCAAGAAGAGCCGGCTTCTTGCAGGATTGAAAGGAAGCTTTTGACAGCATGAGCCTTTATCCCATATGGACAACATGATGAAGTGAAAAGAGCTTGCGCTTCGCAGTCAGCTGGACCTACTTTGTAATTTGTGAGGAAGCTACTTTTCACGTTTGTGGGCTTCACTTTTCTCATCTATGAAATGGGGACAAATAATTGTTGTATGGGATAGATTTAAGGTATGCAAGAAAGTTCTCCCAGTTCCTGGCACAGGGGACTCCCCCAAGAGTGCCTTCCTTCACGTGACAGATGAAACTGGGGACAGGGAGAGACGTATTTTGATAGAGATGCTGAGGGGAGGGAGGGCAGGTAGGCAAACCATGAATGCTTGTGGGATGACTGGCTCTCAATCCCACAGAGAGTACTCTGGAGGCTGGGAGGCAGCTATCATAAAGCTGGTTTAAACTCCAAAAACGTTTGTTATCAATGAAACAGATCTTTCAATCTGATTTGGGGTTTCCCTCACTTAGAGTTCAACTCCTTGAAGGAACTGATCATATCAATCTATTGCAAAACTTGCTACCCAGTTTAATCCCTCTACTGAATGCTAGATAAAAGATTTCTATTTCCTCTTCTATACTTCTCCCCTTATTATTTAATAAACATTTAGGCATTGTCGCTGTACTTGGGAAAAGGTGAAATGGGAAGCACTTGTAGTGCAGCCAATTTTTTGTCCCGTGTGATACACAATAGCCTAGCTTGCTGGCTAGGCTGGTTTGCTCAGTCTAACAACAGCAGTGATTGTATGGTGAGAGAAAAAGTTACAGCGTAGAGATATTCAAGATGGCGGGAGGTAGAGTCTATCTAAGCTCCTAGGATAATCATCCCATTAATGGTGTTCCATGTCCCCTAGCCTAAATCAGAGTTATTCATTTAGTAACCTCCAGATATATTTTGTATACACGTGAACTAAACTCCTATTCCTCAGGCCTGATTCTTTTTTAAGTGTCTTTTCCTCTGTGCTAGCAGCGTTTCAAACCTGGCAGTACCGTATCAAAAAACACGACTGCTCTGAAGTGGTAAAACTCTGAAATATTCTTTTAAAAACGAAAGGTTTTGTCATTGGTTTGAAAATATTAGACATAGAGTTATCCTCCTGCTTTTATTTTTCTTAATTTAGCAGTCCTTCCTCACACTGAAAAGAAAGAAAAGTGTGATCTTGTTACGTCTTAGGAAATAAGCAAGTTTTAGCCGAAACACCACTACCAATGTCCATTATTTCCCAGGGGCCACAGCCACCCCTGTCCTGCATCCAGTCCTCATTCCCTAAAGGCTGGGAGACGAAGCATGGCTTAGGGCTATGGTGCAGGGATTTTGTAGGGTGTGGGTCTCTCGCAATCGTCAGTGGTAGGGCAGTTTTGTTTCACTGCAACCACAAAACACGTCACTCTACTTATGATTTAAACCACACCCAAATGGAGTTCAAAGACGAGCAGCGACACCCAAGTGAGTGTTGGCTTAAAACCTCATCCAAGTGCTGAAATTTCTCCCTCTCTCTCCTGTCTTTAAACAATTAGTTCCATCACAGAGATAGACCAGTCAGTTTCAACAGAGCATCCAAGCCGCCACTGGGCTTTTCACATGTGCCTTGGTAAGTTCCAGCTACCCCAACTCCAACCTGTGCCACTTCCGAGGAGACGGCAGGGGCCATTTCCTTTTGCTGCTTCTCTCCTTGACCGGCCGTCTAAGGCGGTCTGCGCTGGATGCGTCCCTAGCCTACCTGATGGCACTGGCTGAAAAATGCCCGGGAAGAAAGCAAAAGAAGACGCATAATCCCCAGTTGGACAAAAACGAAGACAAAGCGGAAGCAGATGTCCAGATCAGGCCACATACAACCAGACGGCCTTCCCCGCTCTCCAAGGTAATGCAACAAAGGTCAGTGCGCCTGCATACCCTCCCCTTCCGGGAGATGAGAGGGGCCAGGGGTCACCATCTCACCACCTGGCTGTTGTAGTCCTCAGTGACAGCCCCCTCTGATGCCCCGTCCTCTTTTGGCCACCGGTGGCCCCTATGCTCCCGCTGCAGCCTCCGCTCCTCCCGCCTCTGTTGCCGGTCCCTCTGGTGCTCCAGCTGCTTGGTGTGGTGGTAGCGCTGCTGGAAAAGCTCTTTCGCGTACTCATAAAGCTGCATGTCCAGGAAGTTCAGCTCCTCAATGCGGCGGCGCGCGCCCTCGTTGATCTCCACGTTGGAAGCCCGCGTGATGTTGAACTGCGTGAAGGGGGAGATGAACTTGAGGTTGAATGTCCTCTCGAACAGAAACTGTGTCTTCCTCTGGAATTCGGTGAGCCCGAAGAAGGCCATGTTCTTCAGGTTGGTTTTCGCGCTCTGCAATAGGATGGTGTTTCGTTCACTCTCATTCATGAAAGTCAAGTTGTAGCAGCCCACCAGGCTCAGGTCTGCCAACATGCGCACCTGGCGGTTGTTCGCCAGGTTGTAGCTGCAGTCCATGAACTCCCGCAAGCTGACCCCAGACCAGTCGTCCCCAGGGTAGCAGGTAGGCAGCTCATCGCGGGTGGGGCTTCTCCCGTCACACATATGGAGAGAGGTTTTCCACGTGGCCCCTCTCTGGACGTGTTTCCACTCACTCAGGTAACGCGACACTGGATCCCGCAACATCGTGATGTAATAGAAATTCCTGGAAGAAATTAGAGGAGGAGCGTCAGTACTTGACGACAACACGGGGATTCTGAACCTCTGCGATTTTATACAAGCCTTTCGTCAATGGGCTCTTTAGCCAAATGTTCATGTGAGATTGTTTGCTTGGATGAGTGCCTATCAGATGTATGTGCGTACGTTTCCATACAGACAGGTGGACTGTTCTTCAGTACTAAGCTTATTGGGCTTTTCCTCCAAGCTCCTGTGTGAGGCAGGATGGAGGTGTGGAGAACAGATCATGCATTTACTCCGCAGTTATTCACTAATAAATTGCTATTGGCAATAACAACTCCTTACATTCAGAGAACACACCATGATTTTGAGAAGTTGTTACCCAGCCGATATTTTATTTGATCCTTCCACAAACCTTTGCAGTAGACAGGAGGCTTTTGATACAGAAGCGTATACAAGGAGGAAAAACAATTTGATCCAAGGTCATGAGACTAATAAGGGCTTTGTGGGACCCCAATTACCTTAATATTTTTCTCTTTATGCTGCTATTCTAGATTATGAGGTGGTCAAGGCAGGTGAGGTTGGGGTAGGTTGGGTGGGGTGTAGAGACTAATACTTACTGAGTCTCTACTGTGTGCTAGGAACTGTTAGGTGATTGATGGATACTAACACAGATTATCCTCAACACACTTTGTAAAATGAGTTTCTTATTACTTTTAAAAAAAATAAGCTGAGGACAAAGAAGCTCACACAAGTGATAGCTCAGGATCCCAAGCAAGCCAATATTGGAGCCACCATCTAATCTAGGCCGATTTGATTCCAAAGCCTCTGTGGTTTTCTATGATCCGTATTAGTATTTACAAAACAAACATCTAACTGATAATTATTGACTGCCTATTAACTGCCAGGTGCTGTGTGCATTATAATCACAAGTTTTATCTCAGTTAATGATGTCTAATGGAACACTGAGAGAAACATGTTTTATAAACGGTTATCTTCAGAATAATCAGGTAAAAATCACAGTACCTCTGGTTTAAAAGAGCAAGAGAAGTGCCAAGAGACAGGAAGAGAATTGGAAAAGGTGACAAATAAAAGACACAACAGTAGGCATTAGAGGAAATCAATATTGCTCAAAATAAGGAAAACATTTTCTGTAATTTGACTAGCCTACCAATGGAAGGGATTGCTAACCCCAGCCCCAAACAGTAAGCCCCCCAGCGTCAGAAGAGTTCATGTAGAGTTTGGAAGTCCGTTGGTCACAGAAGCCATAGAAAGGACTCCTCTGAGGAGCAGGTTGGACATGAGGCCTTCAAGCTGTCTTCTGATACTGAGACCCCACTTTGGCCTTTTGTCCTTCCACAATAGCCAGTTCAATCCCAGCTCAATCCCAGTTCAGTCCTTCCCTCATTGACTGGAGGCCAGCTCCAGAAATACAGGGTTATTAGTATTAACTCAGATTTCCCCTGGGAAGACAAAAGCGGTCCTGATAAGCTCTGAGAAGAGCACCAGGTCTGCCCTGACACCTGCAGACAGGCCATGCCGCTGCTAAGAATTCGGGAACTACGGCTGGTGCTGGTCTGCGTTGGATGCCACTGCTGATGACTCCACGTTGACTGAGTGGAACATACAACACGCCTGTCCTCAACGTGGCATCCAGAGGGCTGGGACAAAACCACGACATGTTTGCTTGATTCATCTCAGTCTTCACTTCAGAGAATTTTGATACTAAAATAAACACACACACACACACACACACACACACACACGGACACACATGTCCATGCAGATGCAGATGCATACAGACAGATGAGAGATAGGTTAGACCACCACCGATCAGTTTGTCAGACTGCGATGACTTGCCTGTCGCTATGATGCTGAAAGCTAACCTAGTGGTATTTCAAATACAAGCAGGGTCACCCATGATGGACAGGTTTCATTGGAGCTTCAGGGTTAAGACAGATTAGGAAGAAAAGCCTGGTGATCTACTTCTGAAAAGTAGTCAATGAATACCCTGTGGATAACAGAATACTGTCCGATATAGGGTCGGAAAACGAGCTCCCTAGACAGAAATGCACTCAAAATGCACAGTGGCCGCAACAATGGACTTGAGCATATTAACAATCGTGAAGACAGTGCAGGACCAAGCAATGTTTCATAATACTGTACACTGGTTGCCATGAATCATAGTAACTCCACAATTAATGATAGATAGATTAGACAGACAGACAGATTAGATAGACAGGCTCTTGAGGAACCAATTTTCGTTATCACTGCATCAGATCATATTTTGTCAAATATTATTAGCAAGGGGAACAATTGTAGGTATTACTTGCCTGAATCATTCCTATCTGACTTTAGGACCTATTATTTGCGCTTACAAACAGATTGGGATGTATCGGACTCTATATTTAAATTAAAGAGAGTATTAAACCTTCACGAAAAACTGATAAAGTTTAGAGGAGCTGGCAAGTCCTTCTGGGTGTATTTATTCACAATCATATCCATTTCTCTTCACTTGTTAAAGATCGAGGCTGTCACATTAGGACAGGTTCTATGCTGAAGAAAGCCGATTTGTTACCACACTCTAAACATCAGCTTTGGGGAGGAAATCATATCATTTGCTTTTAAAAGAATGATGAAGACAGAGGCAGGAAGCGAAAACGATGTCACCTGTTGCACGTGTACCAGCCAAGTGCCAATGGAGGTAATGAGAAGTTTAACAGAGACGTTAAATCAGTGAAAAGGACACATTTCTAATTCCCAAGGAAAACAACCTGCCTAGAGAGCTGCCTGATATACATATGAAGGAGACATGGTGGCGCAATGGTTAAGTACTCAGCTGATAACCAAAAGGTCTGAGGTTAAAACCCACCAGGAGCTCCACAGGAGAAAAGACCTGGCAATTTGCTCCCATAAAGATTACAGCCTAGAAAATTGTATGGGGCAGTTCTACTCTGCCATATAGGGTCGAAATGAGTCGGAATTGACTCAGTGGCGCACGACAATAACAAACAACAATATGTATATGAGGGCAGAATAAATTGATAAAAGCTTATATTAGATTTAATGGAGATATTTCATTCACACAAGATTGCTGCCTACACCATTTAGGAAAAATATTTTTTTTCAAAATTGTGTGACAAAGGTTTTCTAGTTTTCTTTTAAACTACAACAATGAAAGTTTTATTTGGTTACAAACTCACTGAAACATGTGGATGGATGCCAAATGCCTTCCCCGCACACTAGATCCCGAGACCAATGATGTCGCGAGCTTGCTATGTGCCAGGCACGGTGCTAAGGTGCAGTCCATTTTCAATAATCTTAGGCGGTAAGCGAGCACGCTTTTTTCTTTTCACTTACAGTTGAATAAACCGAGCCTTTTGAGAGATGAAATAAGCTGCCCAAGGTCATGCTGGTAATGAATTATGTAACTTAGATTTAACCCAGATCTGACTTACTTTAAAAATCTATTTTTAGTCACTATATTATGAAGAAGGAGCCCTGGTGGCACAGTGGTTGAGTGCTTGGCTGCTAACCGAAAGGTCGGCGATCTGAATCCACCAGCTACTCTGAGGGAGAAAGATGAAGCAATCTGCTTCCATAAGGATTTACAGCCTTGGAAACGCTATGGGGCAGTTCTACTCTGTCCTATAGGGTCGCTATGAGTTGGAATTGACTTATGGCCATGGGTTTGGTTTAGTTTTTTATATTATGAAAAGAGAAACCTATTGTTTCATGGGGAAAAGTCAACCCAGTAGTAGTATTACTAAGCTAAACTGGATTAAGAAAAAAAAAACACATGCCTAGTAAAAGCAATGGGAGTGAGCCCTGGTGGCGCAGTGGTTAAGTGCTTGGCTACTAACCATAAGGTTAGCGGTTCAAACCTGCAAGCTGCTCCGTGGGAGAAAGATGTGGCAGTCTGTTTCCCTAAACATTACAGCCTTGGAAACCCTATAGGGCAGTTCTACTCTGTCCTATAAGGTTGCTATGAGTTGGAATCGACTCATCGGCAAGGTTAAAAGCAATGGGAAGAATAAGGGATTGAAGGGTACAATGTTTTTTATGCTGCTTTTCAAAAGGAATTAATGAGCTATAATATTTAAATTTATACATTTTATATATTCTGTTATTTTAAATGTCTGGCCTCATTAGGTAAGCCAGACATTTTTTAAATGTGCTCAGGAAAATTCAAATTCTTATGTAACACTCACTTCCCGTTAAATCACGAGGAGGAATTTCCAGGAACTTCCAAGGAGAGACCCGCCTGAGCTGTAGTTTTGCCATTCGCCATTTTACATTACACTGTTGTCTTTCACTGTTTACAGAATGACAATTCCATCAGTGGAAGCAAATTCCCCAAAAGGTCAGCAGGGAAAACTGAAAACCACTGACACAGCTTCTGGGCTCCGTGAGGAAATGTTGACAATAAAATTTGGCTCAGAGAGGAAATTACTGTAGTGGAATACTGTATGACATGTCATTATTAATCCTGCTTTGCTCCTAAATTGGGACTTGTTCACATTTCAGATCTACCAGCAGAGACTGATTTTTATTTCACAAAACAATTGCATAAAATACAGGCATACCTCATTTTATTGCACTTTGTTTTATTGTGCTTTGCAGATACTGTGTTTTTTACAAACTGAAGGTTTGTGGCAACCCTGCTTCGAGCAAGTCTATCGACCTCCATTTCTTCCAACAGCATGCGCTCACTTCATGTCCCTGCGTCGCATTTTGGTAATTCTTGCAATATTTCAAACTTTTTCATGATTATTACATCTGTTATGGTGATCTGTGATTAACGATCTTTTTTTACAGAGCAAATTAGTTTCTCATTAAACAATGAATAAACATATTGTTTTGTGACATTGGTTTCCAACCCCATGACATGTCAACACTCTCCCCTTCTCAACCTTGGGTTCCCTATTACCAGCTTTCCTGTCCCCTCTTGCCTTCTAGTCCTTGCCGCTAGGCTGGTGTGACCCTTTAGTCTCATTTTGTTTTATGGGGCTGTCTAATCTTTGGCTG